TATCTGAGGAAGCAAGATGTTGCTCATGAAGACTTATGGCTCTGTGAATTAGTCTATAGGATGCCACTCAGCTCTACATTCAGTATAGAACAGGGGTAGGCAACATTTTTTGGCTGGAGTGTTGAAAAAACACCACAATGCCTACCTCGGAAGGTGCTGGAGTGCCGGCATGGCAAAAAAACAAAATGAGGGCACAGGGTACATGGCAGGATTCCCTGCTTGTGCCCCTTGCCCCCCACCCAAAGCCCCTGCCTCCCAACCTTCCTTCCCTGTGCCCCCACGCCTACTGCCCCTTGCCTCCCACCCAAAGCCCCTGCCCCCCAGCCCTGCCACCCTGTGCCCCTGCCCCCCTGCCCATGCTTTGTGGCTGTCAGCAGCTACCCCAGCTCTGGGTAGCTGCTAGAGCCCAGGCTGCTCCCAGCAGGGCGCTGCCTGCTGGAGCTGCCTGCTGGGAGCAGGCTGGACTCCCGAGCTACCCAGAGCCAGGGTCAGCTGCAGCCAGGAGGCTCCTTCGAGCCGGCCCGGTCTCTGGGCAGCTGCAGCAAGCAAGCAGCAGGCAGGCTGCAAACAGCTGCGCCAGGCTCCACAGTTCCAGCATCAGCTCCATGCTGGTGGTGACTTCACGGGCACCTTGGGGCAGACAACTGGGGAGCGCAGCCCACTCCAAGGTGCCCATGCAGTCGCCACCAGCAAGGAGCTGATGCCGGAGCTGTGGAGCCTGGCACAGCTGTTTGCAGCCTGCCTCCTGCTTGCTTGTTGCAGCTACCCAGAGCCTGGGCTGGCTACAAACAGCTGTGCCGGACTCCGGAAGCCTGCCATCACCTCTGTACCGGGAGCAGGGGAGAGATGGGGGCTGCGCTCCCTCAGGCTCCTCCCTCACCGCCCACTCCGACGCGTGAGTGCACACACTGGTACGGAGCTGATGCTGGAGCCTGGAGCCTGGCACAGCTGTTTGGAGCCTTCGAGCTGCAGCCGGCCCCAGCTCTGGGGAGCTGCTGCCAGCTGGGAGCCCAGGTTGCCCCCAGCAGGCAGCTGGGACGCTGCAAACCCTGCTGGGAGCAGCCCGGGCTCTGTCACTGGCAGCAGCTTCTCAGAGCTGTGGCATGCCAAGCAAAATGGCCTCGCATGCCATGCTTGGCACATGTGTCGGGGGTTGCCAACTCCTGGTATAGAATGTCATTAGCTGCTGCATTAAAAAATAGTAAGTTATTTCAAACAATGTCCTATACCAAGGCTATTCAAAATGAGATTTTTATAAATATTTCTACATATAAAAAAGGGGAGAGAAGCCTTGATTGTAAATGACACTGTCACTTTAGACTCAAAGGGTACATCTACACATCTCCCTACGGTGACGTAGCGATGTGCTACATTGCCATATGGTGTACTATGGCAACGTAGTGATCACACATATCTACATGTGATCACCAACTACGTCACTGTAGTGGCATACTTCTCCAGTATAGTATGCCACTATGGCAACGTAGTGGTGAAATCTAACTGTGCACCGAGTGCAGTAACTGCCCAAAAGGTACTCCAAAAGGAAATACTAAAGCACGGCACTATGTAGATGCACCCACAGTGTACTAGTTTTTTTGGTTTTAAACAAAGAGTATGTCTGCATAAAAGTGTTCTAGTGAAAAAACATTTTGAGGGGAATTTAAGCAATGCTGCCCACTGGTGAGGACCTATGCAATATTAGCCTTCACATTTAGAATATCCCAGACCTCTTAAAGTCTCAAGTCTACCATGTTGATTTCAGTGAATCAGCCAGATGCACACAGTTCGCCTGTTATTGCTTCCTATCCCAGTCCTTTGATTACTAAGTCTTTTTCTAGATTGTGAGCTCCTGAGAGCAGGCACCATCTTTCCTGCTATATGGAGAAAGTTCCTAGTATATACTGGCCACATACCATAAACAAAAAAACAACAATGTGCAAGTCCATGAGAACCAGATGGTGAAACCCTCATACAGCCACAAAGCAAAACTGGCAGAATTCCAGAATCATTATTATTCAAGATGAGAAAAATGCTAAAAGCAAATAAACTGTTTATATTATGAAAGTAAAACAGGTTTGCAGAAGTCTTTAGAATCTGAAATGTTTAAGTAACCTAGGTAACTTACTTCTATAATCCACTGGAGAATTACAGAGCTGGTATTCTTGACCATAGAACTGAGAACCTGATCAATGCATTGAGATGTAAATATACCCCTTTCCTAATGTTTTAAAATTAAGAAATATTTTGTTACATTGTTTTAAGGATGCAAACAATCCCTCTAATGATAGCTCATTTCTATGAAACAAATCTTGCAGTTAGTAAAAATATACTTACCCAGTGGTTAGTCCCATAGCTTCAACCTGGATCTGACATATTTTGCACAAGAAGCATTAAAAAGAGTTTATTTCCTATGGCTCCATGTGTGACCTATATGATACAGAGATCTGTCCATAAAGAAGAACTAAAAAACTTGACATCTCTTTGACTTCTCATTCCTACCCCCAGGTTTCTCTTTGACTTCTGGGGAACAAATAACAGGGAGTACTGTATGGGTCTGACTCTCACTGTACCTTTATTTCCCTCTAAAAGAACCATAAAACCACACTTGAGTTATATGTGGGGTCAAACTGAAATCAGGCCCCTGACAGTCTTGACATTTGTACTTACGGTATTTCTGTGCAGTAAAAATACCACGTCAGACATTTTTTTCCGCGTAGTTTTTATCTTAGTATTTTAGTGCATTTAATCCCTTGGGTCCTTTCTTTGGTATTTGATTCTTCTGTGGGATTTTGTAAGAGCAAGAGCTGTTCAAGGACTTTATCTGTGGTTATTGGCTTATATTCAAGGAAAATGCCATTTGTACTAAAATTTAACCTGCAAATGTGGGGTTGACTTACATATTGGGTCAATTTATAATCAGAGTAATACAGTATATTCTCTTAAATAATTATATCCCCTCCTTGACAGAAATGTAGGCAAAACTAGTTCTCAAGAACTCTCAGCCAGAAAGCTAAATCAAGAACTTTCTTTTCTGAGGCCTGTTTAGAGAGGACCCATTTTTAAATCCCTTTTTGTTCTATCCATTCTGTTAATTATGTTTGCAATAACTGTAGCCCAAGTAGGTATGGTACCCATGGTATTTATAATCCTGAGAGATAGAGAATCAGTGCACTATGGTTTTGTGCTATGGCTGTATATCAGTGTAGGATTAACTGGTTTAATAACTTACCCCTATTTACCTACCCACAAGCAAGGCTGAACAAATACTACTTTTCTCTATTAGGCCTTTTCACCCTATCTGTAACACACAGGGACTTTCTAACCCCTGTGATAAATATTATGTGGCAACACTGCATGTGGACTGGGGCAAAAGGCCATCACACCATTAATCAGTCATAAAAGCAGTTATATTTTCTGATCAAGCTCACTGGGGCTTTAAAAAAACCCTTTAAAATAGAACCAAGACATGATTTTAACTATTCTGTAGAAAAATGGTTCATTGTATTAAACTGAGAATTACATCATGTTATTGCTGTTAGCATTTTCCCAACCACATCATGAGGAGCGTCAAGAGGAAAAAATGCCCAAGTGTAACAGGTAACTGTTCTGGGCCGAGCTAAACTGTAACCTGCACACCTGTTCCTGAGGCAACCACCCGCCTTCTCGCCTGCCATGCCTTGATGTTAATTAATTAGTTGATGTTAATTAGCGGGAGGCTGCCATTGTACTGCCCCATTGCCAGGGGGCGCTATCTGCGGGTCTTATCCTCCCCAATACCGCAGCCCATTCCTCGCAGATGGAATAGCTGTGATGCCTCAGCCTTTTCCCAATCAGGCCCCTCTTTGGGCCTTCTCAAGTGTTGCCCCCTCCTCTGGGGCTCGCCACACCCGCTCTGGGGCTTCTCAACAGTGCCCCCCATCTGGGGCTCACCACGCCCGCTCTGGGGCTTCTCAACTATGCCCCCTCTCTGGGGACCACCACCCCTGCTCTGGGCTTTTTCAACAGGGCCCCCTCTCTGGGGCTCGCCACGCCAGCTCTGGGCGTTTTAACAGGGCCCCCTCTCTGGGGCTCGCCACGCCAGCTCTGGGGCTTCTCAACAGGGCCCCCTCTCTGGGGCCAGGGTCTATGTACCCCGTACGCTGCGCCCCTACTGGCGCTGGGGTCCCCACGCTACTGTGGGTCCCCTATGAGGCCTCCTCCAACCCCTAATAGCCTCATCCAAACCACCGGTGATATAACAACAAAACAAAACACAAGCCCCTAGGCTACAACTTAACTCCACAAAACAAACACAAGCCTCTTGGCTACAACTTAACTTAAAGCCGCCCAGCTAAAACCATGGTGATCAAACATCTTTGAGCTGCCATCCTTTACTCTGCTAGAGAGGTTCCTACAGTTCTCACATCTTAGCTCCTCTCTGTCTGGCTGCTAGCAGGGAACTGCCTCTGGCCTCAGCTCCTGGGCTTTATAAGGGCCAGGCCCTGCCCCCTCTGGTCAGCTGACCTTCCCTGGTTGCCCTGGCAACCCACAGCTGTGCTCCTTAGTCTGCTCCTTCCCTAGCAGTTTTCCCCTCTTCAGGCACAGGGCACCCGAGTGCTCTGTGACACCAAGTTATCTTACCTGAAAGCAAGAAAGAAACTAGTGTGTGCACACCCTGTCTGTGCTGACAAGGTCAATCCAACACAACTTGTGAACATGGACTGGAGTGGTGTGGGCACTAAAGTGCACAATTGACAGCCCAGAGTTTGCAAATTCAAGGCCACAGCAGAAGTGCTCCAGGTGTGGCCTGGTCAGATTCCAACAAATCAAATAATTCTGCTAGATACTTTATCACAAGGACATGAGACAAGAAGAAAGCTTGAGAATATTATGAAATTACCTTAGGATGACTGGCAATCAGCAAATGTACTTATACTCAAGAAAGGTGAACTTGAGCAGACGGTAAAGCAACTTGTCCATGTTACAGGATGACAACCAAACAGAAATAAAATCTGAATCTACCTGAGGATGGCTTTAGCTGTAGTAGTTCTCTGTGCAAATGACAAAGTCTGATGATGATCTCAAGACTTTTGATAAGTTCTGCTTGTGAAACCAGGATGACCTGCATATATGGACTGACCTAACAAAAGTACAAGACAAGAAAGATGATCTTGTGGTTAAGATACCAGGCTCTCCCATCCTTTGCTTCTTTTGTCTAAGTTAAAGTGTAAACTTTTTGAGGCACAGATTTTCTCTTACTTTTTGTTTCATAGCTCCTAGCACAAACAAGCTGTGTCCTAGGTGGGACGTCTAAACCAGTGGTTTTCAATCATTTCAGGGTCAGGCATTTTTTCTGAATGTAGTGGCAAGCCTGGCTGAGGACCACTGCTGGTGCTGCCTCAGGTGCAGGTGGCAGGGGGGTAGGCACAGAGGCCTTATCTATGCTGGCAACTCCAAAGCAGGCCCCAGCTGCACTGTCCCTTCAGCCACGTGGTCAGCAAGGGGGGATGTAGCTGCAACAGTCCCCCCTCTCCTGCCCTGTATCCATACCTGGAGAGAGGCAAAAGGAACAAACCTTGCAGAGTCTGGGTATTGAATATAGATAGGATTTTTCAAAAGCCTGAGGTGACTTAAAAGGACAACTGCTGCTGAAAGTCAGTGGGACGTGTGCAGTCAAGTCACTTGGGTGCGCTTGAAAACTCCACCGTAAATATGCCAAAGCTGTTTTAGGGATTTCAACTGTCAGAGATTCAGCTTTTCTCCTGCTCAAAATGGCCAAATAGATTAAATTAAAATTTAAGAACCAAATTCCTTCTTGGACTGCATCTTTGTTTTATACCAAGTTTCAGCCTGGAACAAATTTTTGTGGTTGAGTTATTAACCCTCTAAAAAGGATGGAAATACTGACAGGCTCCGTTCAGCAGTGCCGAAGTCTCTTGTTTAAATACATTAACCTAACTGCCACACTGAAATTAAAATAAAATCCCATTCAGTTAATTTTGAGTGAAATTTCAAATAACATGTCAGTGCCTTAGCACCAAGAACAGACACTGGCCCAAACTTTTTCTTGTCATTGCCTGGGCCCAAAATCCACAGTTAAGTAAGTGGGTCTTCTGGGGCTCCTCCCCACTCACTACTCTCCTTGACCGGGAAATACTCAGAATCTTTCAAAATCAGACTACATATAGATTTAGGTGGAGATTTTCAAGGGCACAAACAGCAGGGAGCCACCTTACCCCAATCAAGGTCAATAGGCAGCAGGAGCTACCTAGCTGGTATTTCTGCTACCTACTATTTTCCACTTAGGGCTTAATAGTACAGTAACTACAGGTAAGTGAGTGGGGCACAAGGCCTGAATGCTGCCTAAAGGTAGCAGCCCCAACAGAGGAAGGGGGTGGCTCAGTCTCCCTCCCCTGCCTACATTCTGCACCTTCTCCTCTAGTAGCTCTGACAGGCAAGGCAGGGGAGCAGTCATGGGGCTGGCAGGGGCAAGACAAGAAGGTGCTGTAGAAGGAGGTGTTGGTACAGGCAGGAGCCAGAGGGTTAAACCTTTTCTTTCTTTTTTTCAGGCCAATTTCCAAATTTTAAATGGTTGCTGAGTACATTCTGGCAGTGTTCACCCCTGCAGGGGTGACCTGCCCTGGGTGCAAACTCTATCGGTTATGCCTCTGAACTGTAATACTCTCATATGTCAATGTTCTGGCTACAGTTTTCAGTAAGGCAAATGTTGCAGATCAGTGAAGTATATAGTTAAAAGCGACAGCTAAACATAGTACGAGATTTGTGGATGTTGGCATTTGTATTTATTTATTTGTTTATTAGATTTACATCCCACCCTTCCCCAAAAGGCTCAGAATGGCTTGCAATAACCAAACAATCCATAGATAGTCCCCAAACACCCCAAAACCCTAGAACTCCAACCACTGCTTCTCTGTCCAACCCTACCCACAGCTCCCAACCAGCACTCACATCCAGATATAGGAAAACTTTTCTCCAGTCCCCACTCTCGATGCTCCCACTCCCAACATCCCTTCCATTTAAACCCCCCCCCAATGTTACTTAATGTTAGCATGTATCTAGCTGGTAGGAGCAGATGACATCCAGACAGCAGCAAAGTTCTACAAACTTGCTGACAACTTATTTTAGAGTATTAACTTTAAACTAGCATTAGAATTTGATATACATTGCTCGGGCTCTTTTGGAAAACCATAAATTGTAGCACTAATATGTAAGTTAACTACTGTATTCCAATGTAAAACAACTGTATGTTAAAATATATATTTTTATTTATGTTACCAGTTTCCTTATTAGGAAAAATATAACAAACAGTGTTGAAGATGATAAAGATGCAAACGAGTTTCATAAATATTGTGCGATTTACTCCACCTGAATATATGCTAGATAATTGTCACAATAAGGTAAGTTTAAAATATGATTTTCTGGACACCTCAAATAATATTTCACAACAGCTGGTTCCAGAGCTACATACATGTTTTTGACATGTCCTGATTAACATTCAGAAATTAGTTCAAAAAGTAATTATTATTTTGCTGATTGAAAACATTTTAATGGAAGAGTTTTCCATTGGAAAAATTAGTTTTGTCATAATCTAAACATTTTGCATGAATGTGTCAATTTCTACATACATTCTGACTGGAAAAATCAAAACTTATTTTCCTGGAAAAGTAAATATTTTGTCAGTAAGGTAAACACATTTTGGTTCACTTAAATTCAGTTGTTAAATTACTGATTTAACATTATCTGTACTACTTTACTATTATATAAAGTAAAAACATTTCAACATTAAAAAATAATTTAGCATTTATTGAAATGAAATCTAAAATGTAAAATGAGAAACATTAGTTGACAAAGGCCGAAAGTTAAGTGACAGCTTAAAATTAGTTATCATCATCTTACTTAAACAAGTGTACCCAAGTCATAAAAATAATGTAAACCCAAAACAGGTTAAAAAACGCCCAATCTCAGACAGCCAAAAACAAACAAAAAGATGTTAAGCACCAAATTTTGCTCCTCAGAAATGTTAATGTAGGATGATCTGAAACATTACCAGAGATTTCACAGTTAAATGTCCCCTCTTGCAGCTTTAGCTGCACTAAGTATAGAAATGTAGATAAAACAATGGCAGGTGACATTAATTTCTGTAAAAATAAGGATGCACATTGAAAATATCTATAGCCTTATCTTCCTAAACTCGAAATTCACTATGACTAATCAGGAGGAAGACTAAGGTTAAATGTCTGTTAAACCCTCTGCAGAAGTGGCCAGAAAAGTAAACACCTGGATGAGAATAAAAATACCAAACATATTATAATGTAATTCCAAAAATCAATGGTAAAACTTCACCTGTCATAGTGTGTTCAGTTTTGGTCAGCCTATGTCAAAAACAGAAATGAAGAAGTTTCAAAGCGGATGGGGGAAGCAATCAAAGAAATAGAAGGACTTCATATGAAGAGAGAGTAAGAAGATTTGAACTGCTTATAAAGAAACCTACAAAGGGGAATAAGAAGTAAGGCATATTAAAAATAATTCATTGTGTAGAGAAAGGAAGTTGGGCATTCCTATTTGCCCTCTCACATAACAAGACAAATGAGATGGCCAATGAAAATGAACAGCAGTTGAACAATATGTAGAACTCACTGCTACAAGATATAATGAAGGCCCACGTTTTAGTAGAATGTTTAGTAAATAACATGAAATGCTAACTAACATATAACAACATCAAGTAAAATGTTATCTAGGACATAGTTTAAACTAAGATAAAAGTTCTCATGACTCTGGACATAAGCCAAACACTGAAACCCTCCCCCCCAAACCTTTTGCCAGGTTACATTAGAATTGTACTTGGCAAATTTGCAGGTAACTTCTTTTGAAATATCTGGTACTGGTCATCAGAGCCAGACTCTTGGACTAGATAAATCATTGCTCTAAGCTGGTAGGGCAATTCCTGTGTTTAGCATTTGCCTTTACATTATGGATATTTTGCTTTCCAGTCTCCCTATCTGTTACAGACATAGTCAAAGCTTCCTGTGTTTATGGAATGTCTGCAAAAACCACTAGATTTCTGGGCGGGGAAAACTGACCACAAGTGCTGAACGCTCATAGATTGTCTCAAAATTCAGTGGATAATTAAAAACAGGCTTTATGAACTAGAGTACCCCATTTTTTCCTTCCTCTTACCAAAAGTACATTAAGATATAATTAATTTTTTACAGTGAGAAAGAGACAGAGAGAGAGAGAGAGAGAGAGAAAGGAGGGAAAGAAACTGCTTCTAATAGAAAGATATTTGATTGTGTCAGCCTTAAACTTCATGAGCTTTGTTCCATTTCTGCTTGAATCTCAGTCTGGCATCTTCCCCTGCTGTGCACACAGGCAAATGCTCTTCAGTGTTTTTTTATGGGGGAGGGGAAAAGATATATATAAAAGACATAGCTCAAACCAACTTGTTCTCCACTCTTCTAATAAGCTACCACCTTGGATCAGCAAGGACTAAAGGACCGATTCTGCTTGTTTAATTAGCGCAGGGACAGATTCTCTTTTCATACTCTGGCCCTGACTGGCCAAATAAAAATTTACCTACCGTGAGAGACTTTTTAGTTGGGGTAGCCTGCTTCTATACCAATTGTCCCCACACACAGTATCATGCTGGGCAGAGAGGGAGGTGCATCTGAACTACACCAATTTTTAACCAATGAATGATCCCTTGACCACAGCTGTGAAAAAGAGTAGCCCTTGCAACACTGCTTGAGTACATTTCCACACTAGTTTAAAATCTGTTGTGAATAAATTCAGTTTTGGAGGTTTTAGCTTTTTGTTGACTTTTTGGTTACAGTTTACAGACAAAAGAGATCTGGAATTAAGAAGGGGAAAGTATTTTTTTTCTAAATCAGGCTCAAACCAGTGTTAGTGCACCAACTCAAATCTACCCCATTTTAGCTAAGTCATTTAACAGTCCACCTTTCACTGAAGTGGTTTAATCGCTGTGTTGAGACTGGCCCAGGGTTCCAGACAAATGGAGAGTGACAGTGCAATGGACAGAAAAGATGGAAGACTGTTTGCCTGACTGGAGAAGACACAGGGAGGGCTTGTGGCTTTGGTAAGCCATTTAGACTCAAGGCAGCATTGGAAATCTCTTATTGTATCATAGTAATAAACCTTGTGTTTTGCATTGGTGACCCGAAAGGGTTTCAGCATGGCTAGAGTTGGAAGTTTTATGCTTTCTCTCTACCTTCTGAAATATTAAACAGTTTTAATGTAAATCTGCATTCCCATTCTGAATTGGACTGGCTGAGGAAGATTTCTGATCACTAAGAGTCAAAATGGCTGGATTACTAGAGCATACAATGTGAGCAGTAGTTGTAGCACATGGATGACACATCTAACAGGTTTTCCATTGTTCAGTGGATGCAGCCCAGGATTGGGTGTTAAGAGGTCTAAGTTCTCCTCTTGGCTGTGCCTGTGGCCCGGTGAGTGAGCACATGCAAGTTATAGCCTTTCTCTGCCTGGGTTTTCCTTCTGATCATCTGTTAGTCTTGTCTATATAAATTGTGACTGCTTAGCAGCTGGGATTATTTCTTTGCATGTTTTTGTTTAGTGCCTATCACAAGGGGCCCCACTTTAGAAAAGCTAATGACAACTACTAAACAAAAAGATGGAACTTGTGAAGAGATTCAAAAGCAACTTTGTATGTGTTCCTTGGTAGAAGTATAAGGGGGATGATCTCTGGTGTGGAAAAGAATAAGGATAGTTCATACAAGGTCAGATCATAGGAACATAGAAGGTGTGTAGATTTGCACTTAGACCAACAAAATCAGAGAGGCATTGAATAAGCTTTCATGAGCTTGAGCTCACTTCAGGAGGGGGCTTCTTGGGACACAGAGTTTTGTAGCAGTGGCGACATGCAGGGGCTGCACAGGGGTTCATGTGCACCCCCTGAGAACACTGGTGCACCCTCTGACTGACCGTGCTTGCCGCTTAGGCAGGGGTTGTGCAAGTGCCGGCTGGGGAATGCCACTCCCAGAAGTGGCCGCAGCCACTTCCAGAAGTGATCAGCCACAGGGGCCCTCTACCCCCAGTTGGCGGGATCAGCCATGGGGGGACCCTTCCCTCACTGACTGGTCATTGGGGGGGGGGGGGGGGCACATGCCCCTGACTAAGGTGACACCAGTTGCCCATGCTTTGCAGTCATGAGTAATCATTACCCTAAAGGCTCTCCATAATCCTAACTTCAAATCCTCATGCTACAAGGCACAAAAACACCCACTATAGAGCACTTCTTTAGAAGAAAGTTCTGATGAGCACTGCCAGGAGAGGTAGGGTTGGCACTTTGTTAAAGTGCCCCTGCCACTATTTTGAAGTGCAGGGATCCTGATACATGAGATGCAGAGGCTGTTGGAGCACTCTAATTAGCATGCTCCAGTAGACTTGATTAATCAGGTCTGCATCAGAGCAGCATCCCTGCACATCTACAAGAATCCTAAGGTCTTCCACTCAAACTTGCACCAGTTTCCATAAACAAGTTGGGTTAAACTGGTACAAACCCCTGTGTGGTCATCAACTTCAGTTTAAGAATTGTTTATTTGGTTTTAGTTTAACTATGTCCCTATGGCTTAAGTTAAACGACCTAACCCCCTGTGACGGCGGCGCGCCGCCACGGGCACGAGAAGAGGCGATGGAAGGCTGCGGGGCATACAAAACCCCGGAACAGAACCCCGGAGGGGGTGACTTACCTCCGGGAGACCCAGCGGTGCCGGAGCCTAGACCATGGTGGCAGCCGTAGCCGCAACTACAGCCACGTGAGCCGGCATTACGCCGGCTATTTAAGCAGCTGTTAGGGATACAGCTGGGCCAATCGCGGCGGCCGACATGGCCACTGCGGGAAAGTTTAAAAACCCCAACAGCACCCGCGGGGAGGGGGAGCCAAAAGGAGAGAGAGAGGGCAGGCAGCATGTCTGGTGTGCTGAGGCTCCTGCCGGGAGAGGCACAAGCTAGGCTGTGCCGTACTGGTGCAAGAGGTCCTTTAAACCTCTAGCGGAGGCAGACAAGGGGAAACCTCCTATCCCACAAGAAAGAGCAAACGAGGAGAGGTCAGTACTCCCCTTTGGAGGCAGGAAGCAAGGGGAACCCCGAGGCATCCTGCAGCTACCAGCACTTCCCCTAGGGGAAATAGAACCGGGGACAGGTGCGGAATCCCCTGGGAGCCGCCGGGTAAGGGAAGGCGGCTCTGTGACCCTCTCTGCCCAAGGGGAATATTATTTCTAGAGAAGCTAGGGAGGAAGGACATGGAGAAATACAAGAAGAGACAAAAGATAGAGAGAGAAAAGAGGACGGGCTGGCAGAGCGGTGCAGCTGTGTCTGTGCCCCTGCATGTGTGAAATCAATGGCAGGCAAGCCTGCAGAGGACCGAAGATCACCATCCCACCAGCACAGGATCGGTTGGCGAGTGGATGGGGTGTAGGGGTGGGGGAGCCCCGTGGAACAACGCATGCAACAACTGTGAGTACACCCGTGTCGGGGAACCCCTCTGAGAAGAACTCCACTGGAACCCCCTCTCATAAGAATTTACCAGAAAAGTCATGGCAGGAGGGACGAGGGGAGGGGCTACCTCACCAACGGGTGACACCAGACATAAGATCGCCATCATCACACCCCCATTTAAGCTGCAGTAAAATGATCTAGGCCAGGGGTGCTCAATTGGGTTGTGTGAAGCTTTGGTAGTCGATTCAATTTGAAGGAGATTCGGCCTGATTTGGCAGCCAAATCTCTGAATCCAAATCGAATTGCGAGACCTAGTAAAAGGTCTGAATTGATTCAGAAGCCTCCAAATCAATTCAGAAAAATTAAGAAAGATTCAGAGATTTGGAAGGCTTGCAGGAAACAAAAACTGAGAAGAGGGAGGGGGTGGGGAGGGGGACAGACTGCTCTGATATTGACATCTGTAGCTGGCCAGTGACTGTGATCTTTCCCCGACTTCCCTTCCAATCACACTGCTCTGGAGGAGGGATATAGAAACAACATATAAGGCTGTGTGTGAAGTGATCTGTACCTTTTGTGAAATGTCTCTCTTGGACCAGCAGCATCTGAAAGGCTCTGGCTTGCTATCTAGTCTCTTGATAGTTAGCTAGTTTCTCTTCTTCTGTTTTCCTTGACAGTGTCATCACTGCACGCTGCAGGAAAGTACAACATATATTACAAACACATACACATTTTGCAGCACGCCAAGCTGTATGAAGCATGCTAGAATGGCAGGTGTCAGGTCTTCTGGCAGGGGAGGGGTAGGGGGCAGAGGGAGAGCTGCAAGTTCCGCCCTCCCCCCCCAACATAGATGCACCTTCTTTCCTGGCAACGATGAGTCTTTTGCTGCTAATGGGAGCAAGGAGGTGGGAGCAGTGTCTGCACCTGCACCACCTTCACTAACACCATTAATAACCACCAGCACCAGCATGACAGTCTCCACCCCAATTTCAGTTCCCAGCGTGAGCCTTCTGGTGCCAGAGGAGGAGCTGGATCTGGAAGCAGTGGAGATAAGTGCCATAGCTGAGGAAGTTCTGGGGAAGGAGGGGAAATCTGAGTCTGTGCTCCATGCCCCTCAAAGTTCCCCTAGAGTCAGGTCTCTTTTGGAGGGCACTTTGGAGGAGGCTGTGGGGGCAGGTGGCTCAGCTCCTCCTGTTCATAGATTCATAGATTCATAGATGTTAGGGTCGGAAGGGACCTCAATAGATCATCGAGTCTGACCCCCTGCATAGGCAGGA